ACAAAATAGCTTGCACTCACACTGTAATTCCCAATCACTAAGAATTCCAAAGTCTTCTTGAATGGGCTTCAAGCTTGCTAACACCTTAAGTGTATATAATTTTAGCTTCTCTGCATCATATTCATTGAACTACAGCAAGGAACAATTTTTGTCCAAATATTCTTTGCTTAGAATAAAAAGGCTCTAAAGTGCAAAAAGCAGATTTACTGGGCTTCATTGTCCCAGCTATTTGTTTTAAAAACAAACAGATACATCACTCAAACTGGCATACATTATTTAGATCTGTTCAGGTGACAATACCTAAGAGGTCCTACATTACAGGTCTGGTTCTGTGCGGATTCTGCAACAAAATGTGACTTTGGGACATTAAAATGTTCCATTCTGGTGGGTAAGAGTTAAAGTAGTAATGAAATGAAAAAGTTACTAAATCGACAGTCATCTTCTTTAAAAATGCCATCTACATTTATCTTCTGACAAGATTTCATATTTCTAAATATAAAAATGAGGAATAAGCACAATCCAAGAGGTAAAAGTCTGTTTCAGACAAAATAGTTCAATAATCCTTAGAACAACCCCTAAAATATACCCCAGTTATGACAAATTACAATTGTGAAGGGCAGCAGACCAGTGAAGGTGGCTTAGGTTATTACACAAGAGATGAGAAAACGACACCCTTCCATTGCCTTTAAGAATATAATCCTGTTCTTGTAACCCCTCTGAATATGTACTCATACAACACAGTGTTATAGGAGGGAAGGTCTTTTCAGTTGTATCACCCAGTTCAGTCTTCTCACCCCAACCACAGTATGCTCTGCCACAAGAAATCTTATCTGGGACTTACTGTGATGTCTTTTTTATGCCATGTGAATATTTAAACTCTCCCCCTCTAAATTCAAGTTCCCTCCATATCAGGTTAGATAAAAATTAATGATTTTTTAAAAAATCAAATTGATTTAAATCACAAATCTAAATCACAATTCAAATCAAAAAACTGACTTTTGTTGTTTAAATAATCAAAAATTCAGATTTTTTTAAAAAAATTAAACTGTGGTTTAAATCTATCAAATCCATCCTGCTTCATATCAAAGATATGTAAAATTTTCTGCCTCCTACTGAGGTTTCAGCTTACAAGTCTATAGCAAGCAACAGCTGTAGACTGAAGCAAGACTCTCTATACTTGCCTATAAACTAGTTGTAGAGGAAGAGGGAGTCTGGTTGGGTCGTAGCTGTAAAAGCAGCCTTAGGAGAGCTTTTACAGTTATGACCCAACCAGACTCCCTCCACGAGGGGTTTCCCACACCTTTGTTGTTTACAGCTACGACCCAACCAGACTCCCTCCACAAGGGGTTTCCCACACCTTTGTTTTGTTGGGGGAAACCATTAGTGGAGTCTAGAAAGTCAACAGCCTTCTAAAGCAGCAGCTAGCATAAGATAAAAAACAAAAATTTCCCCTAAAACAGGATATCGATATCTGGTTCTGCCTGGCTTCATTTTCTTATCTGTGAGTTTATTTATTTATTTTTAATTTTTGATTTACTTATTTTTGCATTTTGGGAGGTTTCTGCAGTTTCTTTCTTTTTTTTAATTCACACAGAAACAAAAAACAAGACAAATAGAAACAAGGAAAAAAGAAAGGGGAAAAGGGGGAAAAACTAACCCCTAAAACTAACCCCTCCCCCCTTTGGAGTCTGAGACTCCAGCTTCGTTTGTTTGTTTGTTTGTTTGTTTGTTTGTTTGTTTGTTTGTTTATTTATTTAATAAATATCCCACCTATCTGGTCAGTTAAGACCACTCTAACCCCACCACCCTTTGGAGTCCGAGACTCCAGCTTCGTTAACACGTCTGCTCCCCCAATTTCATTTCCAGTATGTGCTAAGTAGATATACATACATCATAAACTTTGCCCTACACTCCTGTCTTCTTCTGGGCCCAAGAATATATTAGTTCCCAGCTTTGTTTTACATAGTCTCTTGGTTGTTCCCGTAGTGCTTCTGATAGAGTGTCCAGTTCTGCTGTATCCCATAACTTCTTTAACAGCTCTTCTATCATTGCAACCTTACTTATTTTTGCATTTTGGGAGGTTTCTGCAGTTTCCACAAGATCCCAGGGGTAGAAAATTGGTCCCTGGATTAGTCTGCCAAATTAGTCTGTCCCTGCTATAAAGGATTACCTTCATCGAAGTCCGCATCATCCTCTGTATGTTGAGGAAAAGGAAAACAGTTGGTGATTTCAAGCCTGTCGTCCACCACCAGCCCCAGCAGCACACCTTGGACGACTTCATTGCCCTGGCCTTCTTCTTGGTAATGCTTGATGATCTTCAGCACCACCTGAAATACAAATTCTTAATTAGGTTTTTCTCCACTGGAATGTGTTGCCCCATTTTTAGGAGGTGTTTTCCCAACCGCATGGGGAAGCCTATTCAAATATTCTTGAAGCATTTGAGTGTTGGAAGGCTGACAAGGAGGAAGTAGTCAGGAGGCATGCACAGTTTTTGTACCAGTGGTTCCCAACCTTTTTCAAGTTGTGACTCGTTTTTATAATAGCCAAGTAACCTTTGACCCACTACATTTGCATAGAAATACATCTTTAATGGTGTGACTCGTTTTTATAATAGCCAAGTAATCTGTGACCCACTACATTTGCATAGAAAGACATCTTTAGTGGTCATCCTTTCCCAGAAAGTAGAGGCTTCTTCCACCACCACCCCCAAAAAAGGGCTTGTTTCTCATACATACACATACATATTAACTTTAATATCTGAAAATTCATGGAATAAATTATTTAACAAAAGCTACAACACACATAAGGTGATCAGCGACACCCCAGAAAACACTTTACAACCCTCTTGGGGGGGGTCACAACTTCCAGGCTAGGAAACATTGTACTGGTCCCACACCAAAGGGCTAAGTGACAAGCTCTAGACATGTAAATTGGTTTCTTGGCCCTTCTACTCCAAAACAAGACCTTTTCTCTTTCGCATCACAAGAAATCTGCCAATAAATCTGAGACAGTTTTCCTACCGGTGAGGAAGAAGAACAATGGGGGTTGGGGGGGTGGATCATGGCGGGCACTAAAAACAAGCACAACACACCAACTAAATAGAGTTCAGTGTCTTGTCAGAGTTCTGGAAATAAGTGAAGATAATCACTGCACAGGCAGACCACTTCCAAAATAATCAAGCGAACTTGAGAGAGTCAAATTTCTGCTCAAGCTGAACTAATTGCCAAGCAGAAGAGAAGGTTTCATTAAGGAAATTTATATGAGGATTAACCTTCTGCTTAGATACCTTGGCACCCTCTCCGTTAATTGAAATACGTAATTGATATGCAACCCTATTATAGAACTCACCCATGCAATTCCAAGGGAATGATGCAGCTATCCCAAACTCGGCAGCTACTGCAAAGCAGTCCAAGGTATTGCTTCCCAGGTTCTAGTCAACTGAATCACAGGATATGACAAAAGTCAACTTATTTCCAGGGGAAGATTTGTTTTTGAGATGTGATCACATGGTAGGGGTTAAGAGCACACATACACCAAATATCCATCATCATTCCCCCACCAGTAAAGCGGGAATGCGAAACACAGATGGGCTAAGAGAGAGAGAGAGTCTTCAAAAGAACAAGCTGGTGGCACTGGGACAACGCTGAGACAAGACAAAAAAAATCCTTTGTTTGACATCAACACTCCAAGCCCAACAAGAATCAAAGGCTTGTGTGTGAGCTGTGAACAATGTCAGTCCAGTTCCACCTGATGCAAAGCAAGTGATCCCATTAGCCAGAAACTTCATGGAAGGAGGACTTAGTGTACTGTATCTTCCCTTATACAACTACTGTACAGTATCTCAATTTAATTTTAACTGCCATGGTTTCTTCTCACAGAATCCATTTGTAGTTTCGTGATGTATTCAACTTATTCTAGAGATTTTCAGTGCACTCCCTAGAATTACAGCATATAATTCAAAGCATCTCACCAAACTAAGGACTCCATGACTTCCAAGGATGAAGTCAACAACAGCTGAAGTGTTATCTAACTATTGTAACTATACAGTAAAGATACACTCTTGGACTTTAAAAAATCCACATCCAACTACATATGTGTTCCGAACTCACAACCACTGAATTCTTCAACCCCTTCAAGAAGCCAAGTCTCCTGGTTGATTAAAGGACAGTGTGCAGGACATTTGAGGCAGGCTCAGGACAGCTGTCCCTGGAACTGTCTCCATCCTGGGAACCCTTCTGGAACATCCTTGCTCATACAGAGGGACAGCCTGGAGTGCTCTATAGAGCCTAACATGCATAGATGGGATACAGGGCGTACCCTTTCTGAGAACGAATGTTCTCTGGTTGCAGCCAATGGGCCACAGTGACAATCATGAAAGCAACATCAGCAGAAGGTAGGAAGGGGGGAGGTAAAAGGAAGAAGCATCTCTGCTGTACCTGCCCTTCCACAAAAGGATTATGCTGTGGGGGTCTTCCCTGCACGCTGGCACTTGCAAGCTATCTAATACATAACATGACAGTGGCAAGACATTTTTACATTCTCAAAGCTGCCTTGCTATCAATCACTTTTACGCTTCCTCTTTGTAAGTGTCTAGGTCTGCAGGAAACAAAGCTATTGAGCTTTTTACCTTTACAACATGTGCTATTAATCTTGTGTAAGCAGCTCTGAAGTCTTATTGATCTGTCAAAGCCACCAGGTGCATAGGCATAAGGCCTGAAATGATTATTTATTTATTTTTTATAAAGGGCAGCGATGTCTGTAAAATTACACCACTGTAACCCGCGGCAGACAAGGCCACTGTGATTGGTATGGATAGTTAACAAAAAATGAAGTTTAAGATTTTGCTAAGCAACACTGAAATTGGTTTATCTCACTGTGGAGGGAGGGGAGATAGAAATGCCATAATAACCATTCCACAGAAATTTATCTCCATGGAAACTGCTGAATGACTCCCTAGCAGAAACCTTATACAGATTCTTTTGCATAAGTAGGTTAGCGTTCAACATGATTATTACATTGCAATTATCAATCTATAGCAGAGTAGGAAAATGGAGAGTCCAGGGATCAAATTTGCACTCTTGCAACCCACCAGGGGATATACCAGCCCATCAAGGTATGAATAAATAAATAAAATAAGGCTATGCCCAGTTTCTAGAATTTTGAACTGGGCATGAGCTTTGTTTTAGCAATGTTGAGAGGACAACAGGGCTCTGCATCCCATTTAATAGCAAAACCATTGCTTTCAGAAATAGAAAATAACCTTTTTCTTAAAAGTTTCTTTTAAAAAAAGGGTAGGTTGCCTGTGGGGGGACAAAGCATACAGTGGGGTCTTGACTTGAGAACTGAATCCGTATTGGAAGGTGGTTTTCAAGTCAAAAAGTCTGTAGGTCAAGTCTCCATTGACCTACAGTGCATTGAAAACCAATTAATCCCGTAACACGCCGTTTTTGTTCCATTTTGGTTTTTTTCTGGTCTGTAAGTCAAATCTCAGTCTGCAAGTCAAACCTAAATTTTGCGGCGAACTGGGCATGAGCTTTGTTTTAGCAATGCTGAGAGGACAACAGGGCTCTGCATCCCCTTTAATAGAAAAACCATTGGTTTCAGAAATAGAAAATAACCTTTTCTTAAAAGTTTCTTTTAAAGGTAGGTTGCCTGTCCAAGTCAAACCTAAATTTTGCGGCCAGAGAAGTCTGTAACTCAAAAAGTCTGTAAGTCAAGCCGTCTGTAAGTCAAGGGTCCACTGTACTTCGCCAGTCTCTTAGCTTCTGTAATAAATTGAAGACTTTTCAACCAATTATTTTTGACACTCTTGTGAGAGTGGTCTTCGCTCCTCGTACTTTGAATCCAACAACAGGGCTGGCCTGGTGAAAGTTTTGCTTTCAGACTGCTGAGCGTGAGGGTAGCATCACTACAAAGCTCTGGAGAGCTTCCTCAGTGGCAGCAAAGCCACCCAGAAAGTGGTTGGTACAGCTCTCTGGAACAACACAGACATTGACTGTATTCAATGCATGACTTTGGGTGAGCATAGACTTAGCATAGGGTAAGGGAAATATGTTTCAACTTTTAGGGCTGGCAGACATAGCAAAGAATTGGGCAGACAGGAAAACCATCTCTTACCAATGAAAGAGGAACACATTTAGCAGATGGACAAACCAGAACCTGCCCCCCCCACCCAAAGAGAAAACTATCCCATTTTAAAACCAAGCCTTTCTTGTTTGTTTTAAAATAGGTTTTCAAATTTGCTGCAAGACCACAGCTATAAGCGACTGTTCTGTTCACAAGTGAAGGAGGGGAACAGTCTCTGAACCCACCAAATCTGCCCACAGCATTACTCCCTTTTGATTTAAGAGTTAATCTGGGAGGGGTGAAAGGATGGGGAGGGGATGGCAGCTACTGATTTTAATGTTTTCATACGTGCCATCTCCTCTGTCAGTTTTTCACAGATGGGACGGAGGGGTGAGAGTGTCATTCAGCTTCAGTGTCTTGGTAAGCATTTCCCAAAATATGTAACTAAAAAGAAACCGAGCTTTTAAAAAGCTGAACATGGGTGCAAGACATGCTGTCAGACGCCATCCAAGCAGATGTCTTAAGAGTGTTTACCATGCCAGCCTCAGCGTTTGGATACCTGTGCATTCAACTACTTCAGTCATGCCGAATCAGAACGCCTCTCTTATTTTTCTGGCTAATTTATTATCTTTAATAGCTATGGCCTGGGCAGGCACAATATTGTCTTGTCTGCACTGGTAACAGTTGTACTTACTGAATTTGGCTGATGATGGTTGAGAATTTTGTTCAGCTGCTTTTTCCTAATGAGAACTTACGCAAAATTTACAAACTTCTACACAGATGGGAGAGGAAAACTATGATTTTAAACATTTAAATGTGAAAGAAAGAGGCGTGGAAGGGTTGAGGGTCTGCAGAATAATTAACTTGCTTTTAGCTTCTTACTGTGTATTGTATTAGGTTGCCTATCTCCTTTCTAGCAGCTGATGAATTCATTATTTTTCAGCAAGGCTGAGAATCTCATGATATCCCCCCTCCCCATTTTCATGGTATTTACCGCCTCCCTCCCCGCATCTGTCAAAGTCCACAGATGGACAAGTCCAGTAACAAACAGAAAGAATAATATTTTTCCAATTTCAAAAAGCACTTTAGATGCATAATCTTAAATCTGCTGCATGATTCCCAAGCTCAATATGGCTGCCAATTATTATTGCCTCTGTATTACTAGAGGAAATTAAGCATGAGAGGAAGAGTAGGTAACCTGGCGAATTCATAATTAAGCCAATTCACAGTTACGCCAAGATTTGAAATGGGATATGCTACC